TATAGGATTTCTACTTACAATAGTAAATACACCTAATAAAATTGAAACTAAATAAATAATATCTACAAATCCTATTTTGAATCCATTAGTAATATAATCATTTAATAAAAAAATATTATTCATATATAAAATCTTTAATCTGTCATAATTTTATACAAATATAAAATATCCAGATAGGATTAAGTGAAGTTTAGGAAGAAAAGGAATCGAACCTTCGATGACCTATAGTCATTGAGTTTACAGCTCAACCCGTAAACCAACAAACGGACCCTTCCTTATATATTTGTCTTTTTAAGGATTTGAACCAGTAGGAAAAAAAAATTCCTATTTACCTCTAAAGATTATAATTGTTATTCATCCCGTGCAATTTCCATTAGGATGGACACTTATCCACAACTTTGCCACGAGTAATTTATTAAAATTAATCTCTAGATTTAATTGTTGTAGTTAATTAAGTTATTAAATATCTTCCTTTGTAAGGTCTATTATTTTAACCTGTTAATTTCTTTTTGATTACCTAATCCCATTGTCATAATTTTAGGATTTCTATTATAAGTGCAAACCCCCGGAAACCACTTTTCGTCTCAAACATAGACTTCTTATGAGCTTATTTTTGGAATCGAACCAAATTAGGGATATAAATGATCCCACACTCCTTAGAAAAAGCTACAGTGGGGTTATGACTGAGGATAATTCATCCCGTGCAATTTCCATTACACGAACCGTATTTCGACTTAACACCAATCAGAGTCATGCATACGAAAATTAAACCTACGTATTTATATACCTGATTATATATATTAATACGTAAATTAATCAAACTTATTGCACATACTCCTTTCAGCGCCTGACGAGTGGTTAGTACCTAGCTGAGATTAGATTCACCGTGACGTTGGTGATTCACGATTACTAGTAATTCCTTATTCATGTAGTCGAGTTACAGACTACAATCCATATTATATCCAATTTTGGGGATTAGCTCCATTTCACAATATTGCATCCCTTTGTTAAGGCGTATGTGGCACGTCTATAGCCCACAGTATTTAGGCCATGATGACTTGTCTTAATCCCTATTACCAGTCCAATATAACGGCGTTCCACTCTATGTATATAAATAAAGTGAGGGTTTTCGTTAATTTGAGGAGTTAACCAAATCTCACGACATTAACTAAAGACAGCCGTGCAGCGCTTGTAACAATTTTATTGTTATTCAAACTGTGGTAAGGTTTTTCGCGGGTTATCGAATTAAATAACATACTTCACTACTGGTTTCAGAAACGGTCTAATGATTTCAGTTTATATGTTGCCATATTACTCTTGAGGTGGAATGCTTACACTTTCATTTATAGACTAAATATATTTTCTAGTCTATGACATTCATCATTTTCTGCTTGGACTACTAGGGTATCTAATCCTTATTGCTACCCAAGCCTTCGTCCCTCAACGTCAGTTTTTACATAGAAGGACGCCTTCGCCGTTATCAGTCCTTCTGGTATTAAAATATTCTATCACTACTCCAGAAATTCTTCCTTCTCTTATAAAACTCTAGTAAAAAAGTACTCATTTAGAGTTTAATTTACCGTCTAGGTACCCTTTAAACCTAATAAAGATGACTAACACTAGTCTTTTACGTATTACCGCGACTGCTGGCACGTAATTTGGTCAAGACTTATAAATAGGAAATTGTCATTATCATTATCCTATTTAGAACTTTATACGAGTAAATCGTTAATGTATTATTTTAATACATTTTTTCATTCTTCCAAGTTACTGGTTCAGCCTTTCGGCCATTGACCAATATTCCTCACTGCTGTACTAAAACGCATTGGGGTTTTTTCAGACCCAATGTGGTCGATCGACCTCTCAGTCACGACTACGGTTATTAGCTAGAAAAGTCATTACCTTTCCTACTACTCACCGGGATAAAGATTAACATCTTAAAGCGGACCTTTTATTCCTTTCTTTATATAAGGGATTTTTCCCTTACTTTTAGGTAGCCAAATTATCTTATACTCACCTGTACACCACTACTTCGCTCCCCGCAGGGAGCGAAGTCGTTCGATTAGCATGTGTCAAGTACTTGGACAGCGTTCAATCAGAGCCATCATCAAACTCAAAAAAAAATTTTTTTAGTTTGGTATATATACCTAATATACCTATATTGCATGGTACACACTATATTGATTTTTTAAGATATAATTAAGCCAGTTCCTGTCTTAATTTTAATAATTCTAAATTAAAACTTACCATAGGGTTATTGTTCGCAATTATTAATTATAATTATTAGTTTCTGTTAAAATCCTTATATTATTATAAAGCGTCGCCTATGGCGATGCATATATGGCTAATAAGTTTCGGACTTTCCTTTTTCATAAATTTTTATATCTTTTTTTATTTTTAAACCTACCCACCCTACCTTTTAATTTTTTTTAATTATATAAATTTATATTTAACTAAATTAATGCTACAACATAGTAAACTACAAAAACTTTATTCACTCTAAACACATCATTATATCCCCTCGCCGGGTTGCTTCGCAACCCCCACCTCTTATTTGAAGTGTACCAGAGGCGGTGCGGAACGCACCACCGAGGGGTTAGATAACTTATTCAATATTATAACTTCTTAATGATCTACGATTGGCAATTACACAAACAAGGATATATGTTTTAAACTTCTATTGAAGATGCTAGAACTTTGGGCGACTATATAACGCCTCCTTTCGTTGGCTATTGGACTATACTTTACGCTTATAGAGTATTTCCCGTGTGTATTCATATCTGTCCTACAAGTGTTTTCCATAATTGTGGCTTACTTTCATGCTTAATAGTTTTTAAGAATATTTCACCGTTACTGTGCAAGTATCCACCGCTGTCTGTCCACCAATCCGGACTAAGATACTTGTTAAGGATGATTGGACTCTTCCATCCAACAGAATAGTAATTATCCTTAATACTTGTTGGTTTGACCTCAGTACTGCACATCTAACCGGCCACATGAGCCGTTTAAAAGGTTCCTGAGTTAACACCACCACAATATAAGCTATTGGTTTTAGCTAACTTGAGGTATGATACGCTCTTATTAAGGGACTATTCGCGGAGCACTCTGATTACCAAGTCAGAGTCGCTCTACAAACGCACAACCATCTAGTCTCTGCTCTTTTACACCTGGTCGGTTCGGAAGTTGCTCTTTTAATAGGGTGCAGCTACGCTTCTAATTTACTATGGATAACGGCACCTCTCTACACAAGTTGCGTTTTAAAGGGCTACCCCCAAATACATCGAGTCGATGATTTAGATCCGCGAAGGTCCATTTTCTCTTCCGAAAAATCCTGTGACTTATTACTTATCATGCACACATTACTGCACATGGTTCAGCTTTTGCTTTCGCAATACTGTTTCGTACCACAGGCTTTAGGAGTTGCCCGGAATTTGATTGTGCTAGAAAACTAGTGGGGGCTGACCCTGACCCTCACTTTCTTCTGAATAATTAAAATTAGTAGGATAGTGTGGTTATAATATTGAAGTAATAGAAAGTTATATTTTTGATAAATCTTGTGATTATTTCCATGACTATAAAGGATATGACTTTTATTAAAGATAATTCTTCAAGTGCTATGCGTGTAATGCATAAATACTTTTAAATACATTATATGGTAGATTAGGAATGAAAAATTAAGTTGGAAAATTTGTTTACGGATATGTATATCAGCCATAAACTGATAATTTTCATATCATTGTAAAAATATAAATTAAGAGTTAAAAGTTAACTATAAATTTATTCGGTACTATTTGTCATTAGAATCTAAAGATCTAAGGTACTTATTTCAGATTTTAATGATCTAATTTTTATTAAACCCTCTTCTGTTAGGTCTTGATTGGTTAAACATTATTTTATTTGATGTTATCATAACACGTGGTTCACGTGTCTCAGGATTAATTATTGCTTTGCTTGGTTGGTTTTTCTTATCCGTGTAATTCAATAGCATCTTTAATATAAGAACAAGTTAATATAACGAAAACTTGAGCTTGGATAAAGGCTATGGCTAACTCTAAACCAGAGAAAGCGATAATGAAAGCTAATGGAATTAAAGCTAAAATAAAGAAAATAAAACCAGAACACATTATGTTGAAAGTGAAACCACTTAAAATGCTTAATAACATGTGTCCAGATAATCGTCCCACAAATTTTTCCTTTTCGCTTAACACTCTATCAGTTGTTAAACTTTTTGTTATTTTTAGTAATTTCATACTTTATATATTTTATATGATTTACCCTTTTAACAAATAAGATCTAAATTAATTTAAATTTGTGTACACCTTTAAAAGGATTTGTTCTATTTTCTTTTAAATATAAAGAAATACTAGGTTGACGATAACCTAATGCTCTAGCAGTAGCTCCTATCGTTGGATAGACTGTCACCTCATTAGTTACGACATTTGTAACCTCAACTCTTTTAGATGTTTTTTGAACTATCTGTTTGTTTACTGAATCAGAATTTTCATTATTATCATTCAGTAATTTGAATGTATATCTATTTAAAACTGGGTTATCTTGGTTTAAATAAACATAATGTAAAATATATCTTCTATCTATTCCTAAAGCACGAGCAGTCGCTCTTACTGAATGATAAGAAGTAGTAGTATTTGTTTCTAAGTCAGTAACCTCAACTTTAATATTTTTGGATTGAGCCTCAGATAATTTAGCTAAAGTTTCAGGTGATCTTTGAGATGCAGCTGCACGCATATTTTCGATAGTGGCTTCTGAATGAGTTCAACCTGATCCACGTGAAGGGCTTCCAGGTGTTTTCAAAATATTATATTCTGGTTCATGTATTTCAAAATAATATTTTTCTTTTGACATAATACTATTTTTGTCACAGAATTCTAAAATAGTAAGGGTGAAGCTTTGATAACCGTGTTTTAATAATGCTGAATTAATTGGCATATTATTATATTTCATTAGTCTATTTGCGTTATAATATTCCATTAATCTACGTCTTAAATCAACAGAACTTCCTACGTATTTTTTTCCATTTAATTTATTAGTTCACATATAGATTCCTG